TTCTTTAAGCTTACCATCGGCCTGACAGTAGCAAGGATGGTTTATGATTATTTATTTTTTTCCAACACAAAAATGTATTTCATTATAAATAAAACGTATTGGGCATTATAATATCATTAATATAATATGTAGTATTATTCTGTACAAAAAGGAAATAATCAATACAGAAACAAAAGAATAACGAATTAAGAAAATATTCTAAACAAGTAAAAAAAGAGAATCATTCTTAAATGGTACCCAATCAATATTGTCTGTTTTTCTAACGCGAAAGATATGCAAAATCTTGAGTGAAAGGTTCACACATTCTTCCAATAAAATTTCACACATTTTCAATATAAAAATTATGATCAATCAAATTTTGAATGTTAGATTAATTGAATTCGGGTGAATAGTAAAAACGTTATGTCCTTCAAACTTAAATATAATAGTTTAACATTTCGTTCATTTTCGAAACCAACAAGTGCTCACTAAAAAAAAAAAAAAAAACCAAACATATGAGGGTTTGAGTTGCATTTCCGAATCTAGCTGGTGCTCACTAGTCACTACCGAAGAAATAAAAAAAAACCAAACAGATGGGAGTTTGAGTTGCATTTCCGAAACTTGAGGGTGCTTACAGAAAAGGTCAAACACATGGGGTTACGGTGTATATTTCTGAAACTACAGGGTGCTTATAAAAGCAGCAAACATATGGAGGTTAGTGTTGTATTTCCAAAATCGGGGGGTGTTCAAAAATGGGGCAACACTCGAGGTTTACTTAAAAAACGTGTGTAATAGAAATATATATATAAGTAAAATAAAAATAAATATTTCTTGTATTGACTGTGGGCCAGTTTCAATTAATCGATTCGGGGATTTGAAGGGAAGAGTTGAGGTCCTTGAGGAGTAACAACGGCCACGCGCCTCAGAGGCGTTTGAGAGAGAGAGGTGGGTCCAGAGTGACAAGATAAGTAGCAGCGGTGCAGTAGAGTGGGACCCATGTGGCAGATTTGTTCCAAATTAGAACCATACAAAAAGTTAAAAATATCCTTAAATAGAAATAAAGATTTTATAAAGCAATTCAACTACAAATCAGAACCCTTGATCTCCACTGCCATGTTATCACTTAATCACTTTCACTTTCCATACTTGAAAACCTTTGTCTCTTCCACTTTTGGATTTATTCAATAGAATACCCAAATATTTGATCTTCACTTTTAAATTTTTTTAATAAGAATAACTATATTTAAAGTTTAGAAAAAATAAAAATTAAGAATATAGTATTAATTTTTTATTATTTATATAATTAATTTTTATTTAAAAATATAATAATAATTTTTAACTTGTATGAAATATTTTACGATTGAGGTTATTTTGTCCACATATCACACATTTGATTTCGTTCCTTCAATATTTAATCTTATAAGTAAACAACTGGATAATAATGAATTCCACTTTTTATTCTTTATTTGACTATGTATTAATTTTCATTTTTCTTTCCGTTTCAATACAATTCCAATAAGTAAACATGTATTTGAATATAAGTAAACATTTGGATCATAATGGATTCCATTTTTTATTCATTATTTGAATATATTGGCATCAATCCCGATTCTACATCATTCTTCCTTACTATTTTGAATGAGTCAATCCAATTTATTAGAGTTATGTTTTAGTGGAGTCATGGTTGTGTTTGGTAGGGTACTTAAAATAATATTTTTGACAAAGTTGAGTTAGGTTGATATTATGATAATATGATTTGAATTTGAAAATGTGTTTGGTAAATTTTTAGAAAACATTTTTCGAAAATATTTAGATTATTTTTAATCTCATGTATTTGTTAATTTAACTAAACACCCTTTACAATAAAAGTTTTAAAATTAACAAAAACACCTCCATCCACTCATTAATTATAGGCAACTGGCCACCAAATCGGATGGTGGCTGGAAGTCGTTGGAATGACACACGATCAACTAGATCTGGTCGGTAGTGCGCCGATCTGGCGTTTTCCTGCCAGAGATCTGATCGTTGACGATGGCCATATATTGGCCGTCAATGACGACCAAGATTTGGCTGTCGTTGACAACCAGATCTGGTCGTCAACGACCAGATCTTTTCTCGTACCTGGATCTGGTTGGAAAAGGCCAGATCGACGCACGACCAGCCACAACCAGTCGATCATACGCCATTCCGGTGGTGGTGGCCAGCTGTTGGGAGTATGTGGAGGTGTTTTTGTCAATTTATAAACTTTTATTGTTGGAGGTGTTTATTTAAATTAACAAACCTAGGGGGTTAAAAAAATCTAAATATTTTGAGTTGAATAGAAACAAATATGTATTTTGAGAATATTGAAACAAATATATATTTTGAATATGAATGGATATGATAGTATTTGGAATAATGAAACAAACACAACCTATTCTACTGTTGCTATTTTAGTGACATGTAAATGATGAAAGTGGAGTCATGTAAGTCCGAGTTTTAGGTGTTTGGTTAGTAGTGCCTTAAAAATAAAAGTCCAGGTGTCTTCAAACTATTATAAATAATGTCACTTTATGTGTGACTTGGTGAAGTATTATTATTAATTTAATGGTAGTCATTCTTCTCTAAAAGTTTAAGTCTTGCTCCTATTCTTTGTGTCTCTATTTTTCTTTAGTGTTATCAAAGCCAAAAGCTATGAACGGCTCAGTCTAGCTTTCAATACCTGTCTTGCACAAAAATTATAATAGATGGAGTGCTCAAATGAGAGTGCTTTTTGACTATCACGAGTTGTTGTGGAGACTGGAGTCTTAGATCCTAGTGAGAATACAACTGAAGCACAACAAAGCACCTATCGAGAAGAAGAAGGATAGGAAGGTATTGTTTTTTATTCATCAAGGAGTGAATGATGATGCATTTAAGAAGATTGCAAGAGCCGAATCGTCAAAGCAAGCTTGGGATATCTTAATGATGTTTAAGGGGGCAGAAAAAGTTAAAAAGGTGAGACTTCAAACTTTAAGATGTCAATATGAACTTTTACAAATGGAATCGTCTAAATCTATCACTGACTACATAAGTCGAGTTCTAGCTTTGACAAATCAAATGAAAATCTATGGAGAGGAGTACAAGGACCAGACCAATGTGGAGAAGATTTTGTGAACACTTATGACCCTGTTTGAGCATGTTGTGTTGGCAATTAAAGAAGCATACGATTTGTCCGCAATGACTGTTGATGAGTTATCCAACATGTTGCAAGCCCACGAACAACATATGAATGAGAAGAATATCGAGGAGCCAATAGAGCAAGCATTCCAAAGCCAAGTCTCTATCAAAGATGAGCAACATGCCAATCTAAACCAGAGGAATAACGGTTCTCACAATAAAGGATGTGGATGTGGATGTGGAGGTTACTACTCCAACAATAGAGGTCGTGGTGGTTACAATAACAATCATGGAGGTAGAGGTAACTGGCATAATGATAAAAAGAGATCGAATTTTGGCCATCAACAAAATCCAAATTATAAAGGTCGAGGCCGTGGTCGCAGTAGAGGAATGTATGACAAATCTAATGTTGAATGCTACTTATGTCACGAACGTGGTCATTATGCTAGTGAGTGTAGATTTAAGGAGAATAATCAGAGGGTAAATTGTGCACAAAAAGCTGAAGACGATGGAAACCATGCTCTTTTAATGGTTACTACAACCAGTGAATCACCAAACTACCACACTTGGTTTCTTGACACCGGGTGTACGAATCACATGTGTGGTAAAAAAGATCTCTTTGTTAATTTGGATGAATCATTCCACTCCAAGGTCAAGTTTGTTGATGAAAATACCATACCATGATGGGAAAAGGAAGAATCCTCATCAAGTTGTAGACTGGAGATCACAAATACATTTCTAACGTGTTCTATGTGCCAGATATGAAAAGCAATCTACTAAGTATGGGTCAGCTACTGGAAAAGGGGTATGATATGTGTTTGAGTAGTAATCAACTCTCCATTGTTGATACATAAGGTACACTCATTCTTAAGGCTCCTTTAATAAAGAATCGTATGTTCGAGTTGATATTGCCAGTGATGTTTATGCCTGTCTCAATGCTATCATAAAAGATGAGTCTTGGTTGTGGCATCTTTGTTTTGGTCATGTAAATTTTCACAGTTTGAAGCTACTTGCTCAAGGCAATATAGTGAAAGGATTGCCTAGTATACATCATCCCGAACAACTGTGTGAGGCTTGCATTCTTAGGAAACATAACAGATTGCCTTTTGTAGCAGGAAATAATCAGCGTGCATTACAACCATTGGAGCTCATTCATTCTGATGTGTGTGGCCCGATGACCATTATGTCAAATGGTAACAATAGGTATTTTCTTACTTTAATTGATGATTTTACAAGGAAAATTTGGGTCTACTTTCTGAAATGGAAATCTAAAGTTTTTGGCTATTTTAAGAAATTTAAGGCACATGTTGAAAGGTAGAGTGGTTACTCCATCAAAGTTTTATGAACTGATGGTGGGGGTGAATTTACTTTTAATGAGTTTAATAAGTATTGTGAAGACACAGAGAATAGAAGAAAGACTTAAACTTTTAGAGGAGAATGACTACTGTTAAATTAATAATATGATCACACCAAGTCACATATAAAGTGACATTATTTATAATAGTGTGAAGACACCTGGAATTTTATTTTTAAGGTACTACTAACCAAACACCTAAACCTCAAACTTACATGACTCCACTTTCATCATTCATGTGTCACTAAAATAGCAACAGTAGAATAATCATGACTCCACTAAAATAATCCACCAAAACATGACTCCAATAAATTAGATTGACTTATTCAAAATAGGAAGGAAGAATGTTGTAGAATCGGGATTAATGCCAACATCCTCCTTTAATCTAGATTTGGAGGAGTAATCATTCCAAGCAACCACTTCATCTTAGCAAAAGCTTCATACTTCAATGGCTTGGTGAAGATGTCAGCAACTTAGTTTTCAAACTTTTAGTACTCTAACTTAATCACCTATTCTTCAATTTGCTGCTTCAAGAAATGAAACGAGTGCTGATGTGCTTGCTTCTTCCATGTGTAACTAAATTTTTTGCCAAACGGATTGTAGAGGTATTATCAACAAAGATCTTCATAGGTCCTTCAATTGAACAATGAATTTGACTCAACAAATTGCGTAACCAAACTACTTGACATGCACTTGAAGCTATAACAACATACTCAGCTTCACAAGTTGAAAGAGCAACAATTGATTGTTTCTTAGAGGGCCATGAACAAGCAGTACTTCCATATTTGAAACAATAACCAGATGTGCTTCTACAATCATCTATGTCTCCACCACAATCACCATCTGAATAGTCGACAAGAACACAATTGTTAGATGAAGAGTAGGACAAACCATGATCAAAAGTGCCCTTTATGTATCGCATAATTCTCTTGGCAACTTTCATATGAGATTGGCGAGGAAATTCAAGAAATTTGCTAATTAAACCAACTCCATAAGATATGTCAAGCTTTGAACATGTCAAATATCTTAAACTTCCAGCAATTTGCCTGAACAGAATGGATCAACTTGAGCTTCATTATCTTTTTTGGATAGTTTGGTTCCAACGTCCACGAGAGTTCTCATAGGATTGGCAATCATGCATACGAAACCTTTTTAAAAGTTAGATAGCATGCCTTTTTTGACAAATGAAAATCCCATCTTCCTTTTGAATAACTTCTATACCAATTATATATGACATTAAGCCAAGATCTGTCATTTCAAACTCATGCATCATAGACTTCTTAAAATCTTCAATCATTTTAGAATTATTGCTGATCCATTTCCAACCAATGCAACACAATAACATACCACAAATTCAAGCAAAATTCGGCCAACACAAATATTAGAGTTCAAGACACTTACTTGCAATTTTCAAACCAAGACAAGTAATACACTTCAAGTCTAAAGGATTACTCCACCAACTTGAATTGATTCACCATCAAATCCCCTTGCCAAGACTTGGATAAAGAATGCACACTCAAGAACACAAAAGTTCTCTCAAATAGATAAACCAATTTCATATATTTCATAAGCAAATTGTTACAAGGAAATAGTTGCCCTTATATAGGCAAATACAAGGATAAATAAGTAATTGAAAAATACATTAAAACGAAATAAACTGAACTAATATTACAAGCCATTCATTCAAAAAGCAAGGCCATGCCTATTTAATGCAAACGAGATATAATTCCATAATTCTAGGATCTATGTCTTTAACCACCTCATTTGTTGAAATAAGCTTATTTCATTAGATTAAAAGTTTATCAATGATCCTAATTAAGTCTACTAATAAGGGTGTAAGAATTTGGGCCTTGAGAATCATGCCAATGGATCCAATAAGGGTTCATGTGGATCTTCCCTTTTGGAATGAGACTTGGGCTGGATTGGACATTTTTAACACTTGGACTTCTTTTTTTGTGGGCTTGAGCTTCCCTTGTTGGGCTTGGACTTGGAATGGTTTGGGCCGAAATGTTTGAACTCTTTCCCTCCTTGGAGCTTGCTTGGGCTGAATTTCCTCCATTGCTTTCCACATTCCACAATCCAAGTGTTTTAGGACTTGGAGTGAAATTCTTCAATTCAACCAAATTAGCAAGTGTTTTAGGACTTGCAATTCCTTGTCCACTCATGTTTACAAGTGTTTTAGGACTTGTAAACGTATCAATTGCCCGTAAAGATTAAATCATCAATGTAAAGACAAAGTAGTATAGCATCACCAAAATCATTAATCTTCACATATAAAGTATGCTTGGAAGGACACTTTTGGAATCAGTCTGGCAAAAAAATCCAGTTACACATGGAAGAAGCAAGCACATTAGCACCCGCTTTCATTTCCTGAGGCAACAAGTTGAAGAAAAGGTGATTGAGTTGGAGTACTGCAAGTCTGAAAACCAGGTTGCTAACATTTTCACCAAGTCGTTGAAGTATGAAGCTTTTGCCAAGTTGAAGCAGTTGTTTGGAATGATTACTCCTTTGAATCTAGATTAAGGGAGGATGTTGGAATTAATCCCAATTCTACAACAATATTTCTTACTATTTTGAATGAGTCAATCTAATTTATTGGAGTTATGTTGCAGTGGAGCCATGATTAATCTAGTGTTGCTATTTTAGTGACACGTAAATGATGAAAGTGGAGTCATGTAAGTCCAAGTTTTAGGTGTTTGGTTAGTAGTGCCTTAAAAATAGAAGTCAAGGTGTCTTCACACTATTATAAATAATGTCACTTTATGTGTGACTTGGTGGGGTCTTATTATTAATTTAATAGTAGTCATTCTCCACTAAAAGTTTAAGTCTTGCTCCTATTCTCTATGTCTTTATTTTTCTTTAGAATATGTATTAATTTCCATTTTTCTTTCTGTTTCAATACAATTCCAACAAGTATACATAGTATTAGATCTCTAATTGATTAAGAAAATTTAACGCCCACATTGAGGTACGTAACTTATTTTATGCTTGTTTGCCCTTAGTTAAGCTTATATGCCCTTAGTGTTACTTGTTTGCCCTTAGTTTTGCTTGGTTTAAGGTAAAGGATTAGCGAAGTTAGGAATGGTAGACTTCGTTGCGGCAAAGAAGAAAGTTCGCCACGGCGACGTATGCTCTAGAATTTTTAGCCGAGGCGAAGAAAAAGCTTCACCGGGGCAAAGAGCTGGCTAGAATTCTTGAGAAAATTCTAGAAAGTGTAAGGGCAAAATGGGAAAGTATGAATATTAATATGAGATATTAAGGGTTTAAGCACACAAACCCTACCATTCTCTACACCCCACATGCCACTTTCATTCTCAATTCCCTCAATCTCTTCATCAATTTTCAAGGCATTTTAGAGGGCTTTTGGTTGGATTTTGGGTAGATCTTTCTTCCTAAGCATTCCAAGGTAAGAATTCTTACAAATAGATGTGTGATTAATTATTAAGGTGTTGAATTCTTATAGTTTATATGATTGGGGCTTTAGAGAAAGAGGAAGTCTACCAAAAAGAGAGAGGTTTAGGTGGAATTATTCAAGTTCAAGGTAAGTAAATCCAACTCAAGTTATGATTTGAGAAATTACGTGAGTAAAGAATTTTGATATGTATGTATGTGTTTATGTTTTTGAGAATGGTTGATGAGATTGATGGTTGTGGATGAGTATAATTTAGCCATGAGAAATGGAGGTTGTTGTGTGGTGATCGATAGAAGTTGGGTTGAATTTAGAAAGAATTTGAGAAGAATTATGAAGTGTGTTTTTCCTAGCAAGGTTTAGTGTTGATTTAAAGGAGTTTTACTCCAAATATTGGTGGCTTGAGAAAGAAGTAGAAGTATAGCTAAAATAGAAGTTGAATATGCATGCATTATGTTTGATGAAATGTCCAAGAGATGTGTATGCATGAGAGTATTTATGCATGACCTTGAAATGAGCTTGTAGATGATAGAAGAAAACTTATTTTTATGCTACATGACATTCTTGCATTAAATATTTGCATTTAGAAAGAATATTAAGCATGAATCATCTACATGCAAACATATGCATATGTATGAAAATTTAAAGACTAAAGAATTTAAAGAAAAAGCTAGAATGCTTTAAAAGAAGAAAGAACAGGTTGTTGCGATGGGGAACCCATGGGTGACAAGAAGAAAAAGATTCCTACATGTACGCCGCCTTTAGTGAGCGGCCTAAGAATAAGAAGAATAATTTGTACGGCCCGTAAGAGTGTATGTGGATGAGGGCTATACCCAGAAGAAATACCTACATGCACACCACCTTAAATGAGTGGCCTAAGAAGAAAAGAATTTGTACAGTTCGTAAGAGTGCATGTAGATGAGGACTGTACTCACTCACACGGCCAGGGTTCCGAATCCATGCATCAACCGAGTCCGATCGACAAAGAATAAGAACAAGAAAGAATAGAAAGAAAAGAAAGAAAGAAAAGAAAAAGAAAGAAAGAAATATAGAAAAGAGAAAGAAAATAGAATAAGAAACAGAAAAGAAGATAGAGAATGCATTTCTATGCATTTGTGCATTTGCATCTCATCCATGCATGACACCATGACAGGAATCATGGATAGTGAGAAATTAGAAGAAAGAAAGAATAGAAAGAACTAGAAAGAAAGAACAAAGAAAGTTAGAACAAAAGAACAATGAGAACTAGAAATAGTGAAAGAAAAGAGAAAGAACAAAGAGAGGAAGAAGAAGAAAAAAAAGTAAAGTAAGGAAAGAATTCAGAATATGAGCAACAGAGATAGAAGATTAGTGTAGCGGATTTACTTACTGAGCAACTAGTGCTCACCTCGTTGTTTTTAAATGTTTTTGTAGGAAATATGTGAGAAGCGATCGGATGGACGTCGAGGAGCAGAGAGAAATGGCACTACTGTCCACTGTTTTGAGCTTGTGTATATGATACTTTTTCTATGTAAAGAATTATATATATAAAGTAAAGAAATTTTTGGGCCCATTACTTTTCATTTTTATGCTTATGTTTTTTCTATCATAGTAGATTTTTCAATGTATACTAGCTAGAAAGAAGGTATTACAGAAAATCTTTTGCGCAACTAAAATAAATTTAAAAAAATATAAATCAATTGTGAATTATTGCGGTATTGGATTGGTTCGGCTTAAGTATTATTCAATGTTTAGGGTTGATTTAGGTGGTTAAATTTATGAGTTATGGTGCATGAGTTCAATTACAATGAATGAGTTGTTGATGATTGTATGGTGAATATAGGTTTATTTGTGAGTTTGATCGAGTAACAATTTCAAAATGAGAGTTAATTTTTAGGAAATTAAGTTTTATTAAAGTTTATAAATTTACACATAAAATTAATTAATTTTAAAAAATAATATATGGATAAATAAAAAGATTTGAAAAAAAAAGACCCATTAATGTTAGGGGTGGGAAAAAAATCCGAAAATCAAACTCAACCGGAAAACCAGTTTTTTCTGAAAATCAATTCTGTTTTAGTTTGGTAAAATGGCAAAACCGAATTTTTGGTTCTGTTATTGGTTTAGCCTTTTCCACAAACTGGTTAACCAAAACCTTTATTTTATTTTATAAAATATTAAAATAATAAAATATCATAATTCTTAAATCCAAACAATCCTAAATACTAACCAACTTAATTTTGTCCTAACACCCAGATTATATTCATGTTCACGCTGTTGTTGGCTGGTTGCTGCTCTCAAGTGCCAATTGTTGGTTTTACGATCTCACTTCTCATTTCTCAATCTTCACTCTTCAGGTTCTTTTTAGTGTAAGTCCGCTAGATAATAGTCTATTTGAACCAATTTTCAGTTTACTGGTTTTTTGCATCTCTATAACTCTTTGATAGGGTTATAAGCATTGTATCTATTACATGATAAGACAGCTGCTACAAGTTGTTCTAATACAGCTACATGTCGTTTGGATATAGGCTAATTACTTGCTGTAATTCGTTTATTTACTTTTATATTATTCTTTTATTCTTTGTAAATCCTCTCTATAATTAGCAGATAGTCCTTTATTCTGTAACTTTTTTTGTTAGTTTGTTAGAATACAGTGCCTATATTAGTTGCCTTTTGTAATAGTCTGAATAGTAACAATAATACAGGATATTCACCTTTTCCAGACTTCTGTTATTCGTCTCTGTATTTCACCCTTTTTTCCTTCTTTGCTTTACTATCTCACATGGTATCAGAGCCTAAGCACTAACTCCATGGAAGATCCTCTCGAAAGTTCAGTCGATTCATCCTCAACCCACGTTGAACAATCCTCCAGCCCCAACCCCAACCCCAACCCACCCAACCCTCGTGCCATTAATATGTTTCGTTACCTGAACCTTAGTGATCCCGGTAATCCCTTCCGGCTAGATAATGGCAACAACCCTGCCGTTATTCTAGTCACCAATTTGCTCAACACAGATAATTACATCACTTGGTTGCGTGCTATGCGACGAGCCCTTCGTGCCAAAAATAAATTAGGGTTTATCTCTGGAGATATCCCCAAACCAATCGACCCTACAGACCCTCTCCTTGAGCTCTGGGAGTGTTGCAACGACATGGTAGTGTCGTGGATTCAAAACTCCATCACCTCTTCAATCAAATCCAGTGTGGTGTTCGTTGATGATTCGCGCGACATATGGCTTGATCTTTAAGCCTGATTCTCTCATCAGAATGGTCCTCGGATTTTCCAGCTAAAGAAAACCCTAACCAGCCTTGTTCAAGACGCAGACTCTGTAAGTATCTATTATGGTAAGCTTAAAACTCTTTGGGAAGAGCTTTCCATTTATGATCCGATTCCTATGTGTACTTTTGGAACTGCGAAAACTCTCTTGGATAGATATCAATGTGACTCTGTTTTTCAATTTCTTATGGGTTTACATGATACCTATTCTAATGTACGTGACCAAATCATGATGTTAGACCCTCTCCCACCTGTGACCAAGATTTTCTCCCTCATCCAACAATAGGAGCGACAACACCAGCTCCTTCCCCCTAACCCATCCCCTGACTCTATGGCCTTAGCCATCAAAAGACCTTTCATCCAACCTGCTAAGCCATACACGCCGACCAAATTTACCCCTAAGAAACACCGTGCCTATTGTACCCATTGTAAGATTTCTAGTCACACATTTGAGACCTGTTTTAAAGCTGGAAATGCAGAAGCCTCTATCTGTTCTCACTGCAATTTGTCTGGTCACACCATGGAGAGGTGCTACAAATTGCATGGCTATCCACCGGGCCATAAGTTCTTCAACAAAAACACCAGTTCTGCTGCTCTTGTTATACAAAATACATTGTCTAATGCTTCTGACCTTGATGAGGTTAGTGATGGGAGAGTGGGTTTAACTCAAGCTCAGTATCAGCAACTACTAACTTTACTTTAGCCAAGGACACCGTCTGCCACTGCTCAATCTCCTCCTCATCAAATTCAGTCCAACTTCACTTCTGCCACCTTACCTAATCCGCAACCTAATCTCTCTGGTATTCCTTTTTGTCTCTCTACATGCACACACACTCTACTTCACTCCACTAATGTTCCTTGGATTATTGATACAGGTGCAACCGACCACATGGTCTGCTGCACCTCTTTGCTCACCACCATCACTGCTCAAGTTAATTATTCTGTTAAAATGCCAAATGGTACTGAGGCCCCTGTCACCCACGTTGGCACTGTCCAACTCACTCCATCCATTTCTCTACATGAAGCTTTGTGCATACCAGCTTTTCAGTTCAATTTAATTTCTGCAAAAAAATTGACTGCCTCTCTCACTTCTTGTCTAGTTTTCTTTTCTGACTGTTGTCTTATTCATGACCTTTTATCTTGGACAACTATTGGACAGGGTGAAGTAAGGAGTGGCCTCTATCACTTCTTGAAGACTGCAATCTCTCCTTCCCTCTTAGCTAATAAACTTTCCACTTTCTCCACTACTGTTTTTACTGGTTCAACTTCCATTTTCAACAATTTAGATGTTATTGACCTATGGTATTGTCGCCTAGGTCATCCTTCTTTTACATGTATCAATCTGATCACAGATCCTATTGTAAAGAAAGATGTTTCATCTATTAATACAAAACCTTGCTGCAGTTGTCCATTGTCTAAGCTCCATAGATTGCCTTTTCCCCACAGTCAACATAAGACCTCTAAACCCTTTGAAATTATACACTGTGACCTCTGGGGACCATGCTCCACTGTTGCATATGATGGTTTCAAATTTTTTCTAACCATAATTGATGACTTTACTAGAACCACTTGGTTATACCTTTTGCAAACCAAATCTGAAACCAGAAACTGTCTCATCTCTTTTTCTAACATGATTGAAAATCAATTTGACCTTAAAATCAAAATTTTAAGAAGTGACAATGGAAGTGAATTCCAAATGACATATTTTTTTAACACCAAAGGAATCATACATCAAAGAAGTTGTGTTGCCACCCCACAACAAAATGGCATTGTGGAACGAAAACACCAACACTTACTTAATTCTGGTCTTCCTCTTGAATATTGGAGTGATTGTGTTTTGATAGCCACTTACTTAATCAATAGGACCCCTAGTCCCCTTCTTCAAAACAAGACACCTTATGAAATTTTGTTTAATTCAAAACCCATTTATGCACACATGAAAATTTTTGGTTCGCTCTGTTTTGCAACCACACTCCCCGATGGGAGGAAAAAGTTTGATCCCCGAGGTCGCATGTGTATATTTCTTGGCTATCCCTTTGGCATCAAGGGCTATAAGGTTCTTGACCTTAACACCAAATCCACTTTTATATCACGGGATGTTGTCTTCCATGAGACTATATTCCCCTTCCACTCCCTTCCTTCCAACCCTCCCCCTCATCCCATAATGACTTTGTCTTTACTAAACCACTTCCAAACCTGCTTGACTTTCCGCAGATAGCCCCCAACACTCATCCCCTACCACCACCAACAAATTTTGGGCAGTCTACTTCCTCTCCAGAACATGCAGCAACTCTATCACCCTCCTCTCCCATACTCACTACCTCCCCTCCTTCCCCAAATAACACTACATCTTCCCTTTCTAATCCCCCCCTCTGTAGGTCAACAAGGATAAGGGGAGCTCCTTAGTACCTTCAAGAATTTCACTGTCAACAGGCATCACTCCCTGCTTCCTCACCATTGCTGTCCAAGCTAGAAGGCACTATTTCAGGTAACAATTTTTCAGTAGCACATTTCCTCACATACCAGAAATTTTCTCCTTCTTTTACTGCTTTTTCCACCATCTCTGACCCACAAACATACAAGCAAGCCCTAAAGGACCCTAGTTAGTGTCAAGCTATGAATTCTGAACTGCAAGCTTTAGAGCAGAACCACACTTGGCTCATCACTGATCTTCCTCCTGGAAAACAAGCCATTGACTGTAAATATGGGTATAAAACAAAGTTCAATTCTGATGGGACTATTGAGCGATTGAAAGCGAGGCTTGTCGCCAAAGGGTTCACCCAACAAGAGGGTATTGACTACACGGAGACCTTTTCTCCGGTTGTTAAATTAGTCACTGTCTAGGTATTACTTTCAGTGGCAGCTGTTAAAGGATGGTTTATCCATCAATTTGACGTCAACAACGTTTTTCTCCACGGTGATTTAGAAGAGGAAATTTATATGCGTAAATCCCCTGGATACACCAAAGGAAGACCCCACCAAGTGTGCAAATTGCTTAAGAGCCTATATGGCCTTAAGCAAGCTTCAAGACAATGGTATTCCAAATTCTCTTCCTCTCTTATTGCTTTTGGATTTCATCAATCTAAAGCTGATTATAGTCTCTTCACTAAATTGGATGGCACTTCATTTACTGCATTGCTTGTCTATGTTGACGATATTATTGTGGCTGGAAATTGCTCTTCTTCTATTGCTTCCCTCAAAATCTTCCTCAATACCCATTTCAAAATTAAAGACCTTGGAACTTTGCGTTATTTTCTTGGGTTGGAGGTTGCCCGCTCATCCAAAGGCATCCATCTATGCCAAAAAAAGTACGCTTTGGATATCTTAGCCGACTCGGGTACACTTGGGAGCAAACCTCTCAAAATACCTCTTGACCAGAACTTTAAAATCAGCAAGACAATTGGTGTTCCTTTGGCTGATCCAAGTCCCTACCGTCGACTGATTGGGCATCTCTTGTACTTAACAATCACTAGACCCGATATATGCTATGCTGTCCAGTTATTGAGTCAATTTATGAATCATCCCACTTCTACACACATGGCCACTGCACACAAAGTATTGAGATACATCAAAGCTGCCCCCGACCAAGGTATTTTACTGTCTTCTAAATCTCAGCTACAACTCAAGGCCTTTTGTGACTCCTATTGGGCCTCTTGTCCTGACACTCATCGCTCCGTCACGGGTTATTGCATCTTCTTGGGTGACTCACTTGTTTCTTGGAAAACCAAGAAGCAATTAGTGGTGTCTCGCTCTTCGGCTGAAGCCGAATATCGCTCCATGGCCTCTATTTGTTGTGAACTCACTTGGTTTAGGTATTTGCTCACTGATCTCCAGATTTCTCATCCTCAACCTGCTCTACTTTATTGTGACAATCAGGTAGCTTTACACATAGCTGCCAATTCGGTCTTCCATGAGCGAACTAAACACATTGAGTTGGATTGTCACCTAGTTCGCGACAAGATTCAAGAAGGCAGCATCACCACTTCTCATGTCTCTTCTCACAGCCAGCCAGCAAATATATTTACCAAAGCCCTGCCTTCATTATTTCTTCAGTCACATTTATCCAAGATGGGAATAGTAAACCTCTATTCTCTATCTTGCGGGGGGCTATTACATGATAAGGCAGCTGCTACAAGTCGTTCTACTGCAGCTACATGTCGTTTGGATACATGCTAATTACTTGCTGTATTTCATTTATTTACTTCTATATTATTCTTTTATTCTTTGTAAATCCTCTCTGTAATTAGCAGATAGTCCATTATTCTGTAATTGTTTTCTGTTAGTTTGTTAGAATACAGTGCCTATATTAGTTGCCTTTTGTAATAGTCTGAATAGTAACAATAATACACGATATTCACCTTTTCCAGACTTCTGTTATTCGTCTCTGTATTTCGCCCTTTTTTCCTTCTCTGCTTTACTATCTCACAGTATCATCAATATGCTAAACATCAAGGACCTAAAAAATGACCGAAAAGTATAATAATAATAATAAGATTAATACATGTTTGAATTGCTAAATTAAAAATGCTGTAAAAGTACTGAACAAATATTTGAATGGGATATTCGGTCAGTTTTATTACATTATTTTGATATTATAGTGTGACATTTTAGATGACATATATAAAAAAATTTAAATTAAAAAATAATTAGAATAGGTCGTTTCGACTGTTCGTTGAGGCCATTAACTGCTTGAACGTCAAGTGGGGCCACTTTCCTTAATTAGATAAATAGGAAAGCCACATGTCAAGATTCTAGAACCGTATGCACTGGTTTTCAGACATGATTACACTTTCATTACACCCAAAAGTTTCTGAAAGTGACAAATACACCCCTTTTTTTAGTTTTAAACACAAAAAAAACCTTATATTACTTGAAATTATAACTTTTATGTTTCTTATTTGAATTAAATTTGCATGTGTTTAGTTTTATTTGCGTGTTTAAAGATGAGATTTAGAAGATGATAATGTATCTTATATAGTGATTTATAAAATAATAATAATAATAATTTTAGATGATGATATATTTAATATTGTTATAATAAAAATTGGCTCACAATCTAATATCACAAACTCTTTCTTACAATCTTGACGTAGTAACTCTTAATTGGTCAGCTCGCAATTGGTTAAACGGAAAAAATCATCAAAAGTAAATTATAAACTATCATATTAAGATAGTGAGAGAAAGTTTGTAAGATTGGATTATAATTATCGAATTTGCCCTTGTTATTATGTTACAAAAAGTGAAAGCAATTGGTAGTTGGTAACGAGTGGTATTCGTGATATGCAATAGTGATGTGATATGAATTTGTCTGATGACTCATCATTCTATTACGTAAAAGGTTATATAAGTCTTTTTTTTTTTTTTTTTGGAAACTTAACCAAATTTAACAAAATCAAACTTATATAGTTCTTCTATTAATTTTGCACAAAAACCATCTTCCATTTATTCAAAGTAATTACATATTAATTTGTAAAATTATTTTAATTAAAAACCTATATATAAATCAAATCCTATAATTATTTGTTATTAATATGCAAGTAATAAAGTAATAATTAATTTTAGAGAATGAAGCGTTCCCGATTAATCGGGAGAGAATGAGGAACGTGCACAAATGTGCGCGTGATGAATTTTCAGTGACACAATAATTCCTTTGTAAAAGCGGTGGTGTACCAAAGCAACAGGCCACGTCATTTTTTTGCCTGTTAACGTAAAGCAGTTGCATATACTATTATCCATTACACGGGGAAAGAGAGAGAACCGAAAGAAGCTTCAATTATTTCTACTGAAGCTTTTGTCACTGCATTGCTCCGCCACTCAGATAACAACGTCTTATTAAATCATAACTTTCTACCTCTATTATTGGATATATTGTGGTTAATTATTTTCATTTTTTTTTCTTATCTTTAACTTCTTCTCATTGTTTGAATTATCTTTCTTCCGAGTTACACTGGAGAAGGATTTTCTGGGTTTGAAATGGAGAACCTGAAATGAGCATATGAAAGAGAAGAGCAGAGACGTCAGCGACAATTCAGGTACTTGTTTTTTTAATTTTTTTTTTTCCTTCATATTTGAGGTGTAGTGGGTTATATATTCATCCTTAATTTTGTTGTTATTGTTTTCATTGTTTATGATTCTTTATATATATATGTTTTCTTTTAATGCTTCAACGCAGTAGTTGACTCAGCTTTATATAATTCCCAGATTCAAGTATATGTGACTCAGATAAAAGATAATGTTTATATGAAAAGATAAATTAATAAATAAAAGTTGAAGATATTAAAACGTGGTTGAGTTTCAAGTAGTTTAAAAACATTAAAACAAAAATCAGAAAGCATTCAAGAAAACATAAACGGTCCAGATCTCAGTTATTAGTTAAGTTAGGTAATTAAATAGTTTCAGATATATATGTCGGTGGTGCAGTATTAAGGCTACTTCGTACAAATTTATAAAACTTAAGTCTTTTTAATTCATTAAATATATTATTATGATCTTTAAACATGTGCTTTTACTCTGTATGTATTTATTTAACAATCACGGCTACTTATCACCAAGTTTTAAATGAAGTTTGAGTTTATGTATTTGTAGCTTTCAGTTTTTTAAAAGTAACTAGAATCTGCACCTTATCTGATAAACTATCACTCAGTTTCAGGTGATATTAACCTCAATTAACAATTAAAAGTGAAACAAATGGATCGGGTTCGGTAGCTCAATCCTAACTCAGACCGTATTAGAAAGGGTTCAACCCGCATACAATCCCTGGACGGGTCGGGTTGCTATATGGCAACCCATCAACCTATTTGTTTACAATAGCCAACCCGGCGGGTTGGCCCAAAAAATAAAAAAAATAAAAAAATTAATTTTTTTTTCAAGTTTCCCTCATTTTTTTAATTCTTTTAATTAAACTATTATGATTGAACTCTTACAAATAATTTTACACAATAATATTAAACTATACTTCTAAATCATAAATATTAAAATGTATAAAACTTCGTAATATTTGACATATTGTTATTATTATTTTTTATGGTACGTAAAATATAAAAAAATTAAATACTGAAGTCTTATTCTTAAATTTCCATGTCTTGTATAAAATATAATTCATTCTTATGCTAAAGTTTCATTAATTGAATGAATAAATCTAATTTTTCTTATATTACAATTTTATTGTATTAAAATTGAATTAATATTTGAAATGAAAAAAAAAAAAATTAATTTAATCGAATTATTGATATTTGAAAAGTTAACTAAAAACAATTACATTTATTCATTTATAAATTGTTAATTATTTATTTGAAAAGTTAACTAAATAAAACAAAATAAAAAATAAAAAATAAATCAAAAAAGGAGGTTAACCCGGCCCGACCCGCAGCTTAACCCAACGGGTTAGGGTTAGCGGGCTAGGTTGGGCCAACCATTCCCCCAAAAATGGCGGGCCTAACCCGGCCTGCCTTTGTTGGCGGGCGGGTTAGGACCAACCCGCCAAAAGCAGTAACCCGTCGTGGGCCGGGTTGAGTCGGGCCGGGCGGATTACTTTTCCAACTCTATTAACAATTAATTATTGCAACTTAATACTAAAAGATGGAAAAGAATTGAGTAAAAGACATTAACCCACGGAAGGTTTGGTGAATCTACAAGTTCCCACCCATGGTTTCATAAATTGCAAATTCCCACCTAATTTTAAATTTCAAACGTTGAATTTAACAACTAAAAGGGTATTTAGGTCTTTTTATCCAAAAAATAGTAAACCCTCATCACTCTCACTCCCTCAAGGCCCAAATTAGTAAAATTTTAAAATAACCCTTCACATCTCAAAATTTTTTTACAACCTAGCCTTCCTCTCCGCCTTCGCCTTCGCCTCCACCTCTAACACCAACACTACTAGCGGCCAGATTTGGCCGCCGCAGAAAAGAGGAAATGAGAAAGAGAAAGAGAAAGAGAAAGAGAATAGAGAAGAGAGAAGAGAGAGAGAGAGAAGAGGAGTGAGAAAGAGGCGGAGAAGATCCCGACGGCTAGATCTAGCTACCGCGAAGAATAGGAAGGTTGAAGAAGAGGGTGTTATTGAAATAAATTTGAAAAGAAGATAGTTATTTTGCTAATTCTATTAATTTGAGGGTTAGAAAATAATTTATTAATTTACTCATTATTATAAATAAGGGGTAAAAAGGGTATTTGACTAGTCAAAGCAAAATTTAACTTAGCAAAGTTTAAAATTGGGTGGGAATTTGCAATTTATGAAACCAGGAGCCGAAACTGTAGATTCGCCAAACCTTGGGTGGATAAATGTCCTCTACTAAAAAAAATTTCACATAATTTTTTTTTTTTTAATTAAAAACAATAAAATTTGTTCTTTTAATATTTATTACGACCGGTAAAGGGTTGTCCGCAATTTAAACGGCATCCACACCAGAAATTCCTGTATAACCTATTGTTATATATCTATTAATCTTATATTTCATATGCTCATAAACCATCCTTAGTTTAATAGTAAAAGATTTATTGATTTCAATATATTTTAGCTATACATAATTGTATGATTTAATAAAAACCAACCACATTTTTAAATGCCATTGATAATAATTTCATTAAATACTTTTAGTGCACTCGACATATCTCAGAATCAGTTAAAACAGAGAATAAATTTTATTTTTACAAATTGTTACTAGTAATATGTAATAATTTGCCTAACTATATGGTGTATACATCTTAAGAGGAGCCTGAAACTAATAAATTAAAACTCTTTTATGCAAAATAATATGCTTGACATGAAATGGAATTTTAAAGAAACTTCACCATCAAATAAATAGTAAGTGAAATGTAACTTGGAACATTGGATTTTTAATTTCTACTATATCTATCATGAAACAAATTATTAACGGGCTTTATTCATCATTTAGATTTAATTAAATCACAAATACTTTATAATTAGTTCTTATAAAGAATATAATTAATTAGCCAGATAAACAATTCACACTAAATCAAAAGGAAAACCTAACCCAATTGAGAAAGAGCTAGCATGAAAATATTTTACCACTTCATGTACATTTTGAATTTTAATGAGGTGAAGGAAATTGATATTATTTTGCAGTTTCAGGAAGCTCTTACTTCTCAAACAAGTTATCTCCAAAGTCTGAATTCTCACCTTTCATAATGAACTCCAATGAAGATTTCCAAAGAAAACATCTTCAGGATACCCTTTCTTCTCCAGTATTTAAACCAATTCCGAGTAGCTATGCTTTTGATTATAGCAGCAAAATCCCTGCTCATTTGGCTGAGGTTTGATCCCCCCCCACAGCTATATATACTAATTGAGACATTATTTTTTGAAATATTGTTACTAATGATTAATATTTCTAATCTTTACAGAATAACATAAATTCAATGCACTATATGAATAATTTATCTAACAAATGCAAAGCCACTGTCGGTGGATACATGGTTTCTGCTCCATTAATGGATTATCATTCTCAGGGAGGGCCAATTCTTGATCAGCAGCCTTCATTAATATCTCCTCCGCTTGGTTTCATGAATGTAGAAGCTGCTGGTTCAAGGTGTCATAACATTCTCCACCATGGTTAAACTGCAATTTATTTTACTCTATTTTATTTGGTTGCACTGAACATTGATCTTTTTTTGTAGGAGCAAACCCGAGTCATCAAGTTTGTCTTCTCGATTGACCATCTTTTATGATAACGCCGTATATGCTTATAATGATGTATCTCCTGAACAGGTCTCGGATCTCAACACCAAAGTAGAAATTTGAATTTAGAGAGAGTCCTCAATACATTAGACGTATCATATTATTTCTAGATCGTAGTAATAAATTTATGTTTTGTTGATAATGAAACATGAATGATATGATACGTCTAATATATAGAAGATGTAAAAACAATGCTTTTACTGATAATTTATTTATTTATGCATTCTTCAACACTTCAGGTGGAGTCTGTCATGCGTATGGCTAACACCAAAGAAGCATTTGAGATTATGCCAGCAGCAGATTACATTCCCAATTATCAAGCACATTATTCTTCCCAAGTTGGCAGTTCACTGCAGTCAACTTCTGCAAAATATATAGCACGAAGTACGTAAATTAATTGTCCTTGAAATGTGTCATCATCTCTACTTTTTAAAATATTAATACATTTATATATTAAGAGTGGTTCAACATTTTTATGCTGCAGCTGTGCCTCAAGCTCGCAAAGCATCCTTGAATCGATTTTTGAAGAGGCGTAAAAGACCGGTATCAATACTGAATCGCTAGCTGTGTATGTCCCTCAACAAAATCTAAATTCAACCCTCATGAATGGCGTTAAAGTTCATATAATGGTGCATTTGCAAATATATCAGTTGGAGTTTTATTTGATTCATCATGCCAACTACAATTGTAATTGTTGAAGTATTCTCTTAAACAAGGCCTTTTACAGGACGGTGAGCCACTTCCTACTGGGCGAAAACGAATGTCGATTGCCAGAGCTACTATGTATTTATTTATTTACTTTTCGGGTCCTCTTATTCCTGTCTTCTGCTTTAATATTTAGTCAACATATCGCCTGGAATAAAAGATAATTATGCATTTGGCAATTCCAGATTTGTTGGACCTACTACTTATCATTTGCAATTCCTTTAACAAAATGATTCAAGAGAATTTCGGCATGCTTAACATTCAGGAACCGTTCTCTTTCTAATATCAATCTTACACAGTGCCCGGCATATGTTTCCTATATGCTCAGCTGTGCCAGTTGCAGGTTATACAGTTAGTATGTAATGTACAAATTGTACATTTAAACAAAAAACAGTTAATCAGGTTAACCCCCCGCTCTTTCTATTTTGATTATACACACAACAAAGAAGAAATAAATATAACGCATGAAAGATTTGATTCGATTGTTTGAGCACTGCACAAAACACTTATTTGGAGCACAACTAAAACCAAATAGAAGGGAGCTGACATTCCACCAGGAAGGTTTTCAACACTTGTTCTGTCTCAAGCTTGGGGAATTCACCTTCATCATATTCTTCAAGAAGATACAAGTTGTGATTAACATCAAACCATGTTTCATTTAGCAGTTTTTGAGTGCTTGATAAGCCAATCAATCACAATATCTATGTTTACGGAATCCTTGCACGAGATCATGTAGCAGCACACCTCTCTATCAGTTATAGATCCAAGGCCTCTGAGAATACCCAAACAGAAAGCAAAAAGGTATTATACCAAATAACTCTTGAAGAAATAATAGTAACAGAATAATTCACAAATTCTTTAATATAATAATTTCTTGTAAAGTTCCCTAAACTTACAGCTGATCCACTAAAGCTTGTTTGGAAAGAGCTTCTGACTTGTCGATTTTGTTGCCAAGAACAAGTAAAGGGATTCCACTTAAAGAAGGTTTCGTCAATAGGTCAAACAACTCACTTCGAGATATGGGAACACTGTCTCTGTCCGCAGCATCAACCACATATCTGTCTCCATTCATGAAAAAGAGGAAAAACAAAGTCAATCCATTTGAAAAACATCACAGTTAATGAGAGGTAGCAGGCTCTCCAGCCCAGCTGAATAAAACTAAGCATCATTACAAGTGCACTCTATAATAAGCTGAAAAAATGAAATAAAAGCCAGGAATCCTAATACCATGCAGACTCAACTTCAGTAAGATCTATAAAGTTTCCAATCACAAGAAAAGAGTTCAATAATGTATGAAGTTGTGTCTGCATTGACATATTTGTTCTTCTTCATGAGTATAATCATATGCTTACATTGCCTAGACTACGCATTGAGGATATGAATGAGGCAAACAGACTAGGATTTTTTCCCAGAAATGAAAATTAAACTAAAAGCTTCGAAGCAGGATGGAAACAAGAGCCTTTCCTCATATAGAATTCCCTAAATTTTCTTTTAACAAAGCATCATTTTTCTTGCATTCAAAAAGTGATTTGTTGGTGTGTCTAATAGGATTTGCTAATTTGTAGCATCAGACGCATTAATGTCAAATTTTTTTAAGTGAATTTTCAGTTCTGATACCATGGAACCCAGAGTCAAAAAAGAGTTGGTAACACTAAAGCAGAATATAGAAATAAAATATAGCCATGATTACTGACTATGATACTTTCTTATAATGTGAAAGGAAAGAATCAATGAAAAATTGTCTTGCAACATTAGTTCAGTGCTTTTAAGCAGAACAGCTATATGTCAAACACATTACAAGGTCAACTTTTTAAGTGTAATGAACATCCTAGGATCAAGAGTACTGTACATGCACATATAAGGAAACTCCTTATCAATGGAAAACCAAACATTCAAATTTAGGTAAATTATAATAAAAATAGAGTTTATAATATAACAGAGAAGATCAAGAGGCCAAGAAATATTACAGGATAGCAGAGACCCCACGACAGTAACGCTCCCACATAGTACGAAACCTTCGTTGCCCTCCAAGATCCCATAGCTTTATTGTAACATTACCCTTTGTAACTTTTCGCATATTAAACCCAACCTGGTTTTCATTATAAGAATTTCCATAAGATATCTAAAAATTACCATAAAAACTTAAATTGGGATTTCTTCAAGTGAAAAAAACCTACAGTTGGAATCATGTCCTCACTATAGCCTCCTGTCTGGAAAAGTAGAGAAATAATGTTAATAGAAAAGCACAGACAATTGCTATCTAGTAGACCAAAAAAATTGCATAGAAAGTGTTCACCCACAGCAATTGAATTAACAAGAGATGTCTTTCCTGCATTTTGAAGGCCAACAAGGGAAAGTTCCATCTCCTGCTTAAAGAATAAGCTGATATAGAGAAACATAGTCAGAAAAAGGAAAAAGGCTTCAGTATGGCAAAATTGCACAACAATCATAGTAGTAGTAGAAAATAATCCAGAATAGAGAGACAAAGAGGCATTACACTAAAATAAAATTCTCACAATAAATTTCAGGTTCAAATTGATGGGAGTTTCCAAAGCTAAAAGTATATAAACAATATTGATCTTAAAGTAACAGATGCACTGATTTAACTGCACTGCAAAAAATCAATGCGTAAATGGATAAATAAAAATCAGTCATGCAAGTATTACGTATAAATGATTTTCTAGCATTTCAGTTCATTATTAACCTCTGCTGTCGCATGTAATAAATAAAAATTTCTGAATTACTTTTGCTTAATCAACGCTGAAGATATTCAGTGATTCCAGCCATGTTAGTCATTAGTTTCTTCATATTATTTCCAAAATAATATGCAGCTGAGAACCGAAAAATGAGATAACAATTAAAGATCCTCTTTTCTCTGCTTTTCATCTTTCAGAAGTCAACATAATTTTACACCAGAATGATACGCACTATCAATGTTGAAATAAAAAGTTGAAAACACTTCAGCAATTTCATGGATAAAATTTCAATATAATTCCAGAAGGTAAACCAGTAGCAGTCATAAAAAATTTCAACCGAGTCAAGTAATTGATTTTAAAAGTTGATAATATATCCATATTATAATGATGTTCATAATCAATGTGCTTCTGAGTGAGCTGTGGATAGATACTTATCCTATACCTCAATTTGAAAACATTGGTGACTTAGTAAAACCAAAATCAACCAATTTTGAGTAATTAAACTTATTCCAACATCAGAAAAATAGTGTTTGGTCACAGAAGGAAGCAACTTCCAACAATGCTTGAGAAATTAATCATAGGGTCTGTCTTTGGGTGTAGCATTTAAAACAAATTTCATTGCATAATTTTAGGTTTAACTTAAATTGAAATATATTTTTATCGGTTTTAGAGTCGCTATCAAACTCCCCTGATATTTCCCACAAAATATTACAACTTCCAAAGAAAATCCCAGCCTATTTTAATACTAAATGGGTCACCAAATTCAAAACATAAAACCCAAAAATCAAATTTTGTTAAAACTCTAAACGAATTCTCAGTCTGCCATCAATCGCACCAACTTGAATACAGTGAGCAATGAGCAAAAGCAAGATCCAAAGCAGTTGAGGCAAACAAATTGAAAAGAAACAAAAGGAAAAGGGTATACCTTCGGAGCCAATTGAGAAGAGAATCGAAGAAACCCATCTGGAGAGAAAAGGACTGAGGGGGAAAAGAAGGAAAGTGGGAAGAAAGAGCGAAGGGGCTTGGGTATGTTGTTGTGTAGCGTCATTCACTCATTTGGTTGAATAAATGAGTAAAAATTAAAAATAAAGGGGTTAAAATTACAGTATAATTTTGGAGTGTTGTCTCGGTTATCTCGCTGGTAGCGTATTTATGTTATTTGTCTTTGCTTCTCGTCGTTTATTGTAACTTTCTTTTTCTATTTGGGCCAAAATTCGGTGGATCTATCCACTATTGCTGCTTAATTATCAGTTAGAAAAATACTATGCTTACTCACCACTTGTACTAACTGTCATACAACCTTTGTTAAAATTTTACATGGTACCCGTACTATGCGTATAGTATCAGTACTATGCGTTATATTTGCAAAGGATAGTAAGATGGTTAGTAAGATGGTGAGTAAGTATAGTATGGTTCTTATCAGTTATGTGTTTCAGCCCACTTTAATTCTAACAAAACAATCTCGTAGAATTTAATATGCTAATATATAATTGAAAATAAATAAACAAAAATTTAAAGTGAATGACTTGGTAATTACAACGGTTGTCATATCAGCACATATAATTTAATTTAGTAAATTTGAATATATAGCATTACTTGGGACAAATACAATACATTCAAATTGTAATTGTTACATGTATATACGAGCAGGTTTGGCTTGCGACATAGTATAACATTAAACAAATTGTGGAGTATAGTATTGCATTGTATTATTGTATAAGCCAAAAATCATACTAAACTTGTCAGAATCAATAACAATATAATTATTACATAAGAACCAATGCAATAGCCCAATTCTGATTGGGCTAATGCTAAAATCCATCTTATGGAAAGACTATACAGCAAGATGACCTATTCTATGAGAAGGACTGCTCTATGGGTCGGCCATTCTATGTGTTGGCCTACACCACAAGTGAACCTACTTCATGAATTGGGTTACCTTATGAGTTGGATCACTCTATGATCAAGGCTAACCTACATTTTGGGTCACTCCACGAGTTGGACATTTCTACAAATTAAGCTAAATCAGGCTCCAACCTATTGGTCTACATTTATTCCATAATAGGACTGGTAGTTCCATATGCTTTCTCGTTCATCCAAGATTTCTAATCTTACATGAACTATTACTCATAGTCCTACATGGATTAGCACTACGAGTTTCCTGATTACTCAAACTCTAAGTACTAAGGGAACTCCGAGTTCTACAAGGACTCAAGCTTCTTTGGCTCACTATATAAACATGCCAACCCCTCATTATTCATTCAATCACAACCCTTTCTCTAGTTTACCTAGTCCTTGCTTACAAGAACCACCACCTTTCCCCGTTGTATGAGTCAAGTTCTGACCACTCTACTCCAATAATCATCGTAGAGTCTCGTTTTGGCCATTCTACACCAATAAGTCGCACCCTAGGCCAACACTCTCGGTAAACCCTTTCCTGCTCTTAGCCTTACTAAATTCCCTTCAATTGTGTTGACTTGAGCGTCAGAGCGCCTATGGTTGACACCACACCGGTGTCCCCCGAGTCCTTCACATTCACTCTTTTGTGTGTTTGCAGGTCCACAAGATTGTTAGGGGTCTCGTCCTCACAGGATCATCCTCGTTCAACTCGACCATAGATTTAACCATCTACAATTATATAATGCTATGCTAAATGTTGTAAGAGGTTTAGTAGAACATTGTATTGTATTATTTTTATACTATGTTATATTTGGTACGTGAATTACATTGTATAATATTATTTTTGTTCTTTAACAAAAAATCATCTATTAAAAACTAATATATTTTTCAATTATTATTTAACTAATAATAATAAAAAATTCCAAAGATGAACGGGTTAGTGATCATAATATGTGTTAAACAGAGAGCTAGAAGAGAAGGAAAGAGATAGTAAAAATATTGAGAAAGACAACTACTGATTGGATAATTTTCCCCCTCATTCAATTCCAATAGCAACTTTTATAATGCTTATACTAACAAATTGCCTAAGTAATTAAGTGATAAATGTGTAGCTAATGTTCCTATTCTTATGCAACAATAAGGTCTTATTCTAATGAAACTAATTAACTACATGGAGCTATTCTAATGCAACTAGCGGATTGACTATGGACTGACTTGTTCTTATACAGATAACACACATGATAATACGTATCATTCCTGCCCACTCAGAATATCCTTGTCCTCAAGGATAAAGCTGGGATGTCTTCAAGAAAGGCCACTTGTTCTCCTAAGTAACATCTTCAACTGGAGCTCTTTTCCACTTCACTAATATCTATGTCTTCGGGCAATATTTGCCCTTGTGAATCACACGATTTTGTACAATAGCTTTTGGTTTAGGAACAATTTATGAGTCGTTTGACATAAGTGAGGGAGCTTGAGAAATCGGATATATAGGCCCAAGCTTTTTCTTGAGAAGGTTGACATGGAAGACATTATGAATTTGTGATCCAATAGGCAACTCTAGGTTATATGCAACAGGACCCATATGTGCCAACACCTTGTAGGGGCCGAAAAATTGTGAAGCAAGCTTGAGTGAACTTTAGAATGCAATAATAGATTGATGGTAAGGTTGAAGTTTTAGAAACACCATGTCACCAACCTCGAACTCCAATTCACGCCGTTTCCGATCCACCTTAGACTTCATATGGTTTTGGGTATTTTTCCAATTCTGGCGCAACTCCATTAAGATTTTTTCACAAGTCTTCAAGTGTTCATTGATTGCTTGAACTTTTGTAGTGCCTAGAACATATGACAACATGGTTGGTGGGGGAATCCCATATACTGCTTCAAATGGAGAGAATTTGGAAGATGAATGGATCGTCGTGTTATAATTGTAATTCGCCCAAGCTAACCAATTTGCCCACTTCTTTGGTTCACAATGAGTGAAACACTTGAGATATTGCTTCGATATCTTATTCAATACTTTGGTTTGGCTGTTGGGTTGCGGGTGGTAACTTGGGCTCATGCATATTTATGTGCCCTGCAACTTAAACAGTGCCTGCTAGAAAAAGCTTATAAAGACTTGTCAAGGTCATTGATAATGAATGTAGGGATGCCGTGGTGGCGAATCACTTGATCCACGAAGGTGTGAACGAATGTGACAACAGTAATGGATGACAAAGATGAATAAAATAAGCATATTTGGTTAGTCTGTCGACCACCACCATGATAATTGTTTTACCTCTAGATTTGTGAAGCCCTTTGATGAAATTCACAGAGACATCTGACCATACCTTGGTGGGAATTGGAAGCGATTTAAGAATTCTCGCCAGTACCAAACACTCGAGTAATGTTAGCATATATCACAATGGCACACAAAATCCTTCACGGATTTCTGCATCTTCGGCCGAGAGAAGCAAGCTTTAATTCTTGCAAAGGTTTTGTGGTACTCGAGTGCCCACCATAGGCGTGGAATGGTGTTCTGCCAAGATAATCGTGACAAGAGAAATATTCGGCCTTATAAAAGTATTTTGCGTTTGTAAAACCACGCCCCATCTTGCATAACATACCTTTGTGAGCCTTGCTGAGAAGATAAGTCAGAGATGGTCCAGTAAAACGAATCAGTTTGTACTTCCCATTGGAGTAGAGACTACCATTTCATGATGGGCATAGAAATTGCGGTTAATTCAAACTCGACAATTTTGGAAAGAGCATCAGCACCTTTATTGTCCTTCCTTTTCTTGTATTCAATCACATAATCATACCTCAATATTTTTGGAAGTCAACATGTTTGCATTAGTATGGTAATCTTTTGTTCTAAAAACTTGAGACTCTTTTGACCAGTATGAATAATAAATGGCTTACCTAACAAGTATGACCACCACTTTCTGATTGCCTTCACTACTGCCAACAGTTCTTTTTCGTACGTAGGAAGTGACAAGGTTGAGGCCTTCAAGGCCTTGCTAAAGTAGGCCACATGTTTTTCCTCCAACATCAAAATCGCACCAATATCAACACCACAAGCATCACAATCAATCACAAAGGGCTTAGAAAAATCGGTCAACTGTAATATTAGTATGGATGTAAAAGCTATCTTTATGTCTTCAAACACGATATTGGCATCGGATGTCTAATTGAACCCATCTTTTGTGAGAAGACAAGTTAAAGGTGCAACAAAGGCGCTGAACCCTCGGATGAATTTGTGATAATAGCTTGCTAATCCAAGGAATCCATTCAAAGATTTGAGTGTTGACAAAGTCGGCCACGCTATTATGCTTTTTATTTTGGCAAGATCAACAACTCCATCCCACAAAATTATATGGCCAAGGTAATCTACCTGAAAACTCAAAATTGACATTTTGTTCGTTTTGCAAAAGCTTTGCTAGAAAATAAAATATCCAAAATAGTTTGCCAATGTAGCAGATGCTCCTTCCAACTTCGACTATAAATTAAGATATCATCAAAAAATACTAGAATGAATTTTCAGAGATGTGCCCAAAAGAGATCGTTCATGAGGCTCTAGAAGGTTGAAGGTGCATTTGTAGTGCGAAGTGTTGTTTTGGGAATATCTTGATCCTGACCTCGAATTTGGTGGTAACCCGAGCGTAAATCAAGCTTTGAGAAAAATTTAGCACCATGCAACTAATCAATAACAAGATGAGATATTATCTTCGACCGTCGACCGATCATGTTTGGTCCGAGCTGTAATTAAACTCATAAATAACCTTTAGCCCGAATTGGGCCGGATTTGGATTAGCAGAATAGTAGCAAACCATCAGTTCAATCGGCCTGGTAAAAAGAATCGGGTCATTTAGAAAAAACCAATCATCATCTTCATCTTCACTCCTAAACCTCTCTAATTCTTAGAACTTCTCCATTTCAATATTCTTTGTGAAAATCTTCACCAAATTTGTAAAATGACCCCCAACTTCCCCCTCAACTTTTCATCCATGCGCCTCGCCTAGCTTCCTTCTCTCATCAATTCTATTTTCATTTCTTCCTTACTTCCTTCTCCATTCGCTTCCTAGTTCCCACTTCTTTCCGCCGCAACCAATCCCCACATTTCGCCAACTCTCACTGAAATTGTGCTCTAAAGTTCGAATTTTTTCATCCAAAACCAGTCAATTCTTTCCATTTGCCCATAGTTTTCATGGGGCTTTTCACC